GCCTAGATTGGTTTGGGGTGCCTGCCTATAAGGCAAACTGTGTCCTCTGGGTGAACTTTTAGAGACAACCCTAGTTCCTATCTTATCTCTATGCATAAACGGGCATGTGTATGATTAAAAACACATGCATTATGGGATGGGACACATACAATGAGCAAGAGCTTGAAAAATCCATGCCTGTTGATCAAACTATACTCTTAGTAACCAAACTATTCTCTTAGTAACCAAAATATTCTTTCTCTTGGCTCTCATAAAAGTGCCTCAAACAATAACTAAGGCCCTTCAGTACCTCCAGCCATGTGGCCCACTGTCACTCCTGACATGCATTCCTTTCTAATCTGTACTATTGCTACTTTGCAAATATGCATGACCCTTTATTTCATTCTTAAATAAGATGCCAAGAACATGGAAACACCGAGCCCAGATGTGACCACCAGCAACGAGGCATTTTTATCTGATTTGTGATGGGGAATGGGGAGTATAGTTCCTTTGCAGGCATCTTGGTAAGTTATATCAAAATTCCTGGGTCTCAGCCAGCAGAAGACATAAATCAGAATCAAGAGAGTGAGGGGGCCCTTTGCTTTCCCTGTGGCTCCCTTTCTCCTAATAGCTATCCTCCCCTAAGGCCCCAGGAACTTTCCTTATTTTATTTTGGTGCTCAGAATTGAACCCAGGACCTCTGACATGGTACACATGTACTGTTCTACCATGGAGCTACATCTATAAACTTAAGGGTAATTTTCAGGAAGTAAAATAATGATTTAAAATTTTTTTCTATATAACACCAGGCATGGTGGTGCCATCTTTAATCCCAGCCCTTGGGAGGCAGAGGCAGGTGGATCTCTGTGAGACTGAGGCCAGTCTGGCTCACATAGTGACTGCCAGGTGAGGTCGGACTAGGAAGACCCTGTCAGAAAACAAAAACCCAACAATTTCTTTCTATTTATTTATTTATTTATTTATTTTTTTTGTGTGTGTGTGTATGCATGCAGTGCCCATGGAAGCCAGAGAGGGCACTAGATCCCCAGGAACTGGTGTTATAAACTGTTAGTCATCATGTGGATGCTGGGAACTAAGCCTGGGTCTTCTGCAAGAGCAGCCAGTGCACAATTCTTATACAAAATCCAATAAACATGTGTTAGAGAGTTCATTAAATTCACTAATTAAATGAAAGAATTTATATCTCTTCAAAGGAGAATTCAAAGATCAGAGAAATTTATAGATTGGAAATATTGAAATAAACTTGCAAATTGGGGCAAAATGGCTTTTTTCTACTGTTGGGGAGGGTTGTGCTTAGGTAAGAATCAGTTGTATTGCTGTTTTAGATAATTACAGCATTGTAATAGAGTGCAAAGGCCACAGAAGGCATCAGATGACCTAGAAGGGTGGGCTTTAGCATAACTTTACATTGAAGATTTTAAGTATCTTTTTTTCCTTACTCTAACTTTTCTTTTTCTTTTTTTTTTTTAACAGCTCACAAATGAAAACAAACCAATGTCCAGCATAAGGAAAGTGTATAAACTGCATGTCTAGTCACTTTTCTGTTGCTGTGATGAAACACCATGATCCAAAGCCACGTGAGGGACGACCAGGTTCAGTTCTTCTTACAGGTCACATCCAGTCCATCATCAAGGAAATCCAAGGCAGGAACTCCAGGCAGAAACCTGGAGGCTCCTACAGCATAGACCATGGAAGAACACTGCTTATTGGCTCATTTCTCTGACTTGCTCAGCTTTCATTCTTAAATAGCGTAGGCCTACTTGCCCAGGGATGGCACTGTCCATAGTCAGCTGGGCCCTCTGGGCCCTCCTTCCTCAATTAGCAATCAAGAAGGTAGCCTACAGACCTGCCCACAGGCCAATCTGATGAAGGAAATTACTCAGTCCAGGGTCCTTTTTCTCAAATTGACAACTAAGATTAGTCACCATACCATAGTATGATAAATTCATACAATGGAAGCTCTGTAGAAACCCAAATGATATTCCTCTGCGTGCTACAGATGCATGTAATAAGGATATATGTCTGTGACCGAATGTTGAGTGAGAGAGGGCAAACATAAATGAATATCTATACACACACACACACACACACACACACACACACGCACACACACACGCACATAATCTGTCGTAGGCTAAGTAATGGCCCCCAGAGATACAGATCCTAATCCCTATAACCTGTAAATGGCATTTTATTTGGAAAAAGGATCTTTATGGATGTGATAAATTAAGAATTCTGTGAAAGGTTATCCTAGGTGATCCAGGTGGCCTAAATTTCACTATATGTCCGTGGAGGAATTGCTGGGAGATTTCACATACACACTCAGACCTCACCTTGATTCGTCGATGTGCCATAGAGAGAGCACTGTGAGGACAGATGCAAACACTGGGGTGATGGCGGCACAAGGGAAGGAGTGACAATAAACGCAGGCAACTACCTGAAGTTAGATGAAGCTAGAAGTTGATTTTCACCTAGCACCTTCAGAGGAAGCCCAGAGCTGTGGCTATCTAGATGTTGGACTTTGGACCTTCAGAGCTATTTGGTGATATGCTTCTGTTGTTTTAAGTCACCAAGGTTGTGGTGATTGGTTATTGCAGAAACAAATACAAGACTGCATGATTCCATTTAATGTTCAAAATCAGTATTAATTCTGAGTTAGGTATTAAGATGATAGTTACCTTTGGGGGTGACATAGTGACTAAAGAATTGGGGGTACGTGGGATAGGGGTGCTGGGGAATTCTGAAGTGTTTTGTTCTTCTCTTTCTCCCTCTGCACCTTGGGAATGTTAGCCAAGTGCTCTGTAACTGAGCTATACCCCTAGCACTAAGTTCTTGTTCTTTCTCTTTTTGGACATTTAGTTTAAACATTTTTACTGTGTGTACTTTAATTTTTTTCCTTATTTTTATTTGAGCTGGTGCTTTCTGAATTTCAAAGCATGTAAGTTTATTAGAAATGCATTGAGATAGATTTTAAAAAAGAAAACACCAAAGAATTAAAAAAAAAACAAAGAAAGCAAAAACCACTGGGGAATTACATGAACAACTTTATGCCAATGATTTTGAAAATAAAATATACTTTCCTTCAAAACTGTAACTTAGAAAGGACACAGGAAGAAATAGCAAGTCTGTCTAGAGGAAATTAAATACTAGTTTAAAATCTGTACTCCATCCCTTAAACAACAAAGAAAAACACCAGGGCTGGGCGATTGTATAAATTTAGCAAATAGGGCCAGGGAGATAGTTCAGTGGGTAAAGGTGATTTCTATTAAGCATGATGACCTGAGTTCTATCCCTGGGATCTACATGGTAGAAGGGGAGAACCAACTCCTACGGGTTGTCCTTTGGCCTCTACACTTGTGCCATGGCATACTTGCATGTCTGTGCACCCCCAAATAAATAAGTACATGTAAAAAAATAATAAATTCATGCAATGTTAAAAAGGACAGAAATAAGTTAGGCGGGGTGGCAACATGCCTGCAATTCTAGTACTTGGAAGTGGAGTCAGGAGCATCAAGAGTTCAAGGTCATCCTCAATTACATAGTGAATTTAAGGGTAGCCTGGGCAAGGCTACCTGAGACCCTGTCTCAAAACAACAGTAACAACAGTAAAACTTAAAGAGGATAGAAAGTACTGGCTAGGGAATGTAGGTCTTTTGGTAGAGTGCTTGCCTACCATGCGTGGAGTCCTGGTTTTAATACCCAGCACTCTTGAAGCTCTGGACTTGATGCTCAGAGCCCCCCAAACAGGGAATGGTGGCACACAACTGTAATCCCAGCACTTGGGAGGTGGCCGCCAGATAATCAGAAGTTCAAGGATATCCTAGACTACACAGAGAGTTCCAGGCCAGCCTGGGGTACATGTACAATCACATTGAAGAGAGACAAAGGAATTTTCTGCTTATTGTAAATTTAGGATAGGCTTAACAATTATATCATACATAGTACAAGAGAGCAAAAGTACGGGCCAATCTGTCTTATGTACATCCATATGAAAAGGCAAAATAAAATATCATTAGCTCAGCACCATGCTACATATTTTTATAGCGTTTCAGATAGTTCAGTTCAGATAGTGTGCAGGCGTAACAACGTGTGCAGGCATAACAACGACCTCCACCCCCCGGAATCTCAGGAAAGACGTGACTCCCAAGAGCTGTGCTCTGGCCACAATACACACGCTGCCATGGCACACGCATCCACGATCTACCAGAACCAAGTTGTTTTTCCTAGAAATCTAAGATAACGTAAAAGATTAATATGATTCAAATTCCAAAGAGAAAAGCTTACATTATAATTGCAATGGATCCATTATTGAACACAAAACAACTTAACTTTATAAAGGATCGTAATCTCATTTCGTTTAGGGGTGGGCGAGGTATTGTTCACTCATTGTGTACCCTGATGCTCTGGGAGCACCGGAAGGGCAGGGCTTGCGTGTTTTCTAACTGCCTTGCTTTAAGCGCACAGTTATTAGTACACTGTAATGCATGCTTTTTTCATCAAGAATAGACTTATAGGTTGGGCGTGGTGGCGCAGGCCTTTAATCCCAGCACTTCGGAGGCAGAGGCAGGCGGATCTTCGTGAGTTCGAGGCCAGCCTGGTCTACATAGTTCCAGGACAGCTGGGGCTACAGGGAAACCCTGTCTCAAAAAGACAAAAAAAAGAAAAAAAAGAATGGATTTATTTGCCGAGGAAAGAAAGTCTTTGGGCCTAAACGACTTTACAGGTATCATCCAGCAGTTGAGCCTTCATCAGGAAAATCTCCGGCCCAAGGCTTGGCGCTTTACAGAAAAAGCTACAAAGACTGGCACTACCTAGTGGTACAGCGCCTGCGCCGTCCGGAGATCCTGGCCAAACAACGAGTGGGCGCAACCTCCGCGCTTGCGCAGTGGCGGGATGCGGACGCGACAGGTACAGCGCCTGCGCGGGCTGCAAGGCGAGCACCGCGGGGAGGGCCTGGGTGGATAAGGGGCGGGTGGAGGGCCGGAGCCGCAAGGGAGACTGGGCGGGCCGAGGGAGCCGCACCGTGGGGTTGGCTGCTGCCCTGAGGCCGGAGTCAACGGATCCGGGCCGCGCCACCGAGCGAGCTCGCCGGCCGGCCCCAGCCCGGAGCCTGCGAGCGAGCGAGGCGGTGCCGCGCGGTAAGAGCCAGGGCCAGGGTCGTCTCCGCCTGTGCCGCCAGTCAATTCATCGCCTCAGCGCCGCCCGCGCGGCCAGGCCCGGGCGGCCCCGCAGACCCTGGCGAGCCCCGCGCCTGCGCTGTCCCCTGCTCGCCTCCCCCTCCGCTGTCCCGCGCCTGCGCTGTCTCCTTCCCCGGTTCCCAGGCGGACCTAGCAGCCGGCTCCACGAACTTCGCCGGGGCTCGGGGCTGGTCTGGGGTTTCATGTGTGTGGCGAGGCCGCGTGCGACCTTCGCGCTTTGATTTCCTGTGGTCCCGGCAGAAGGCGGGGCGGTGCGCCCTGGTACCTTGCTGTGGTCCCCGACGGCGGTGCCTTCTGGACCGGAGTATCCGGAGACGGGGGCCGGGGCTCGGGGCGGAGGACTCCTTACTGGCGGTGCCCCGCGGCGCTAGCCCGGTCGTTCCGTGGCGGGCAGAGCGTGCGTGCTTTATTCTTGAGACTTAGCTAATTGTGTCGAGTTGGATGTGGATGATACAGTGGATCGCTGAGGAGAAACCTAATTTCCCGCAGCCTGGTCAATTGTCTAGCTTAAGTGGTTAAGTTTAGACATCCGTAGTTCTTGTTCTCTTTTTCCTGGAGACGAGGGTGTGGGGGGCAGCTACCGTAGAGAAGCCTGGGAAAGAAACGAATTTCTTGTTGGGTTTAGCTATCTCCAAACCACGAAAATTTCTGTAATCATCCAAACGTAGACAACTTTGATTTGATGATTCCTGTAATAATTTGTCCTAAAGAAAGGGGGAACTACTTGATTTAAGGGAAAACTGATCGTGTCATGAAAAGCCCAGGTCGGTAATCCCGGTATTCGGGAGGCTGAGGCAGGAAGGTCTCTTGGGTGTCTCGAGTTGGACTGGAAAGTGAGATCGTGTCTCAAAATAAAATAAAAAATATTTTAATAAATAAAGTAAATTGCAGAGCCTAGCGAGGTTTGCTGTCACTCAGGAGGATAAATCCTTAGATGAAATCAGCTGTGGGCTTCACAGGCAATAGTTATTTCTAAAGGTTTGGGGTAGGGGAAACTGCATTTTGCTATGTAGGCAGTACAAAACGTTGACCCTCTTAAATCAGGGATGGAAAAGGTTTAAAAACAATTATGCCTGTATTGAGTGTGTACAGCCTTTTCGCTTGTTTCTAAATCAGTACGGTGTGGCACTATTTTCATTGTATTTAGGTAATATTAAGCTACAGATTGTTACTGTATATTGGAAGATATACTTAATAACCTCCCATCCCCACCCCCATTCCGCCGCCTGGGATTTAGGGCCTGGCCCATGCTAGGCAAATATTTCACAGCTAAGCTATAGCCCCAGCCAGCTCCATTAGCCTCTTACCTTTTACTTTGAGATGGAGGTCGAACTAAGTTCCTAGATTAGCTATATTCCTAACTCTGTAACTCATGTAGGCATGGAACTTTAAATCCTCTTGCTTCAGCCTCTGGAGTAGCTGGAATGACAGGCCTGTGCTACCACCAGTGGACTGGCATAATCTCACCATTTTCTGTGAGACTTAAGTAGCCACAGATTTTAGGTATCTCTAGAGAAACCTCTAATGCCCTGTTCATCCAAGAAGACAATTGTAATTTTCTTAGCAATTAAAAATAGCTGGACTTGGTGGTCCACATCTTTAATCCTAGCACTTGGGGAGGCAAAGGCAGGCGAACATCCAGGCCAGCTGTGGCAATGAGTCCCTATCTCAAAAAGATGGGGGAAAAAAACCAACAACCAAACAAACCAAAAGAAACAGCATAAAAGTAGTACATGTATGTTAAAAAATTGTCAAAACCAATACAGAAAGGAGTATGATGGAAAACTTGCTCTGGATAGCTTTTTTTTTTTTTTTAATAGAAAAAAGGACTGATCCCCATTTTTCCCCATAAAGTATCTTATTTTCCTCCTTGGATCTATTGTATGCCAAATAGTGTTTTAACCCTCAGCAATTTCAGGTAGTTTGAGAATACTTTGTAGTGTTTACCTGTGTATAATCCCAGCTATGTAGGGATTTCCTTGACACTTTCAATAAAAAGTGATGTGTTGTACCATACAAAGGGCATGTCAACTGTGTGCTTCTGTAAGTCAAAATATCAGTGCCAAGTACACAATCATAGTGAGTGGAATAAGAGTAATTATACCAGTAATGGTTAAAGTGAAATTGGTTTCGAGCATGAACTTTTAGGGTATGTCTGCACTTTCAAGCATGAACTTTTAGGATGTGTCTGTATTTTGTCCTGCACATGTGACCTCTCTGAAGCAGAAGTTCACTTTGTAACAGACTGGATAGTTCATTTGATCAGATGACTCAGGTATTGCGAAGGTTCAAAATTCCTATCGGGTCTAGGTTTTCTTAGTGCACAAGACTTGCTAAGTAGCCTTATGCATATTTCAGTCATATGGCTAACTTGCACAGAGTGTTAGGCAAGCAGGAATGACAGTGACAAGAGGTTGGAGAGAGTTTCCGCTTGGCTTTATGGCCTGGGGCAAGTTAGCTTTCCTTTCTGGATCTTCGTTTCTTCATTCTTAAAGTTTGGGGGCATGTGAAGGAGTCTCAGGAGCAATTTTAATATTAAAGAATCCTTGTCTACTTTTTTCAGCCAGGAGTAAAACCAAGTGTTCTCATGATCGAATGAATCTCGGATTCTCTAGGGTAAGGCCTAGAGTGGAGTGTTGAGTGGGCCTTAATATAATGTTGGGAGGCTTTCATGATACTAAATTTACTCAAAGGGCTGCAATTTCTAAAAAAAACCACCCTAGTTTCTTTTTGTTAAAGTTAAGCATCTAGTTGAGCATGGCTCTGAGCTTGGTGTTCTAGCTATGTGAGAGGCTGAGGCTGGAGGAGTGCTTGAGGCTGGTAGTTTGAGGCAACATAGCTAGGCCCTATTTAAAAAAATGACTAAACATTAATGATACCAAGTGATAGTTTATGGTAATTATAAATGATAAATACAAGTAATTTATCTTATTGTGATTTTTAGAAATAGTCTAAAATCTTGTTTTGCTGTTACTGTTAGTGAGTTTCAGAAAAAAAATTTCTTTGCTGTGGATGTTAAGATTTGAATATAGGGGCTGGAGAGATGGCTTAGCGGTTAAGAACACTGGCTGTTCTTGCAGAAGACCCGGGTTTGAATCCCAGCACCCACATGGCAGCTAACTGTCCCTAACTCCAATCCTAGGGGATCCAGTAGCCTCTTCTGACCTTCCAGGTCATTGCATGACACGGGTACACTTACCTACATGCAGGCAATACATGCATACACATAAAAATAATAAAATATTTAAAAAAAGATTTGCATATAGGTGCTTTGTGGTGGTGGTGGTGGTTGTTTTTTTGTTTTTGTTTTGAGATAAGATCGCTTGTATCAGGCTGCCCTTGTAGCCCTGTGTAGCCAAAGGATGACCTTAAACTTTTGATTCTCCTGCCTCAACCTCCCAAGTGCAGGGATTACAGATATAGCACCGTGCCTAGGTTTATATAGTACTGGGAGTTGAACACAGGGCTTTGTGTATGTACCAACTGAGTTATACCCCCAGGTTTGAACTACTTTTTGAGAGTAAATACGAGGTTTGGTGGCTTACCAAAATCCACAAATACTGTAACAAGCTATTGAATTTGCTTGATATTAAACATGCTCCTGTTCTGATTATCCTTAAAATATAAATTTAAGGGGGAGGGGTGGCTCAGTGGGTTGGTAAGGCTCTTGTACAGTGTGAGGACCCAAGTTTGGATCTCCAGAATTCATGTAAAGCTCCATGTGGTGGAGATCGATATGAGGTGGAGGCAGGAGAATGAGATAGAGACAGCTAGCTTGTGGTTTGCAGGAGCAAAGAGACATGTCTCAAACAAGGTAGAAGGTGAGGACAAACACCAAAGGTGATTTTTGACCTCCACATGTGCACTGTGCTATTTATATGTCTGCACTTATATGAATGCACTCAAATATGCAGCATATATGTATGTTTCACATGATACGAGGTTTTTTTTTTTTTTTTTTTTTTGGACATGTACCATCTCAAGCAGAGAAATTCCTGGTGACTGTAATTGCTAATACTGAATAGACTAGATGAAGTGTAAAGAACTTCCATCAGCTCAGAAATCTACATGTGGCCTCAGTTCTTTGATATGAAACAATGTGCTGGTCAAATTAGTCTTGGATATAGCTTAGTGTTGAGCATCACTGAATCATTACTAGTCATTATGGAAATGCAAATTAAAACTACTTTGAGATACTACCTCACTCCAATCAGAATAACCATCAAGAAATCGGACAACAAATGTTGGAGAGGATTTGGAGTAAGATGAACTTTTATTCACTGCTTGTGAGAGTACAAATTAATATAGCCATTATGACACTGAGTTTGGAGGTTCCTCAAGAAAGTAATAGAATTATCATATGACTTATATAACTCTTGGGCGTTTACCCAAAGAGCTCTGTATTCTACCAAAGAGATATTTGCACACTCATGTTTATTGCTGCTATTTTTACAATAGCCAGAAAATGGAATAAGCTTAAATGTCCATCAACTGAAAAATGTATAATAAAAATGTGTAATATTCAGTACATGATTGAATATTATTCAGTTGTAAAGAAAAATGAATTCATAAAATTTATAGGAAAGTGGATGGGCCTGGAAAGTATATTAAGTGAGGTGATCAGACTCAGAAGCAAACACGTGTTCTCCCTTGAATGCAGATCCTAACTTCTAAAGTATACTGGTAAACAGATGTAAGTGTGGGTAAAGATGAAAAATTTAGAGAGGAGACAAGGAGAAGGTAATACTTGGTGATTACAAAGGATGCAGTGTTGGCAAAAGGACATGAGTCATGAAAGAGGATATAAAGCTAATTTTTTTTCTAGTTTCAACTCCATCATAGCCCCCCGCATAGATATGTAAATTCAACTTCCTAGGTTTTAAAGTAGCAAGAATAATTTTTGCATTCCAGAAGAATCCACCATATATTATTCCTTTGAGGCAGTGATTGTGAATTTGGGCTCTCTTTAATTCTGTTGACCATTAGTGCCATAAGAATTAGATGACAATGAATACATATGTTGCATTGACCCACTCAGAAATTTTTATTCTGGGGGTGGTTCTGTAACCTGAAATTTTCTTATTTTTTACTTCTGTTTAAACTGTATCAAATCATTCCATTCTAGAGTTGTTGAGCATGTAAATTGTATTGCTGTATATGTGAAGTAAAGTATGACTTTAAGAAAAAAAACAGTTTTGGGGATTGTATTAGTTACAATGTATGATAAAATACCATGACCAAAAGCAACTTGGAGAAATGAGTTTATTTTGGCTTCTAGTTCCAGAGGGAGAATCCACAATGGGAGGGGTGGCAGCAGGTGGCAGAGCAGGAAGCTGGTGGATCACAATTCAGCCACATATGCAAAGAAGAAAGAGTAGAATGAGGCTATACATTTCCCAAAGCCTATCTACAAAGACAGCTCCAGCAAGGCTACACCACCTAAAAGGTTTCATAACCTCCTCAAATGACCTCATCCGCTGAGGACCAAGTCGTCAAATACATGAGCCTGTGGGGGACATTTCTCATTTAAACCACTTCAGGGATGTGACTTAGTGGTAGACTGCTTGTCCAGCATGTTACAAGGCCCTGGATTCAATCCTTAGCATTACAAAAATAAGTAAATAAGGCTTAAAGAATTGAGGGGGGACTGTTGAGAGTGAGACAGCTTTGATCCAAAGTCAACATCATAGGTGATTTTGCTGTTTATGAAGCCTTTAACTTCATAGTAGTCTGCTTTGCACTTATCCCCCATAAACTATATATAGTATGGACACACATGCTAAAAAAAAAACCCCGTAGGGGATCAAAATGTGTATTTTAAAATGTCTTAAAATGGGCTGGAGAGATGGCTCAGCGATTAGGAGCACTAATCTTGCAAAGGTCCTGGGTTCAGTTCCCAGCACCTACACATCAGCTAACAACCATTCCTAACTCCAGTTCCAGCGGGATCCGACACACTCTTCTGGCCTCCATGGGAACTGCATGAACGTGATGCACTTATATGTAGGTAAAACACTCATACACAAAAATAAAAATAAAAAAATGAAAAAGTCTTTAATAATGTAATCTCAAGTTGAGCATGGTGGTGCACAGCTGTTATACCAGCACTTAGGAGGTGGAGGCAGGAGGACCAGGAGTTAAAGGTTGTCCACAGCTGCATAGTAGTTAGTTGAAAGCTAGCCTGTGCTGCATAAGACCTTGTCTTGAAGTAAATTAATTATAAAATAAATTCACAATATAGCCCTAATTCTTCATGATAATAATATTTGCATTCTGAGGATTGACTGCTGTCTACTATCTTCACGTTCTCCATTTTTTTCTTTTTTGGAGCAGTACTAGTGGTTGAACATAGAACCTCATGCGTGCTATGCCAGTATTCTACCATGAGCTATACTCCCAGCCCAGAGTTCTCCATTTTCAAACGGTAATTTAATTTTTGTTGTTTTAGACAAGGTCTTATGTAACCTGGGCTGGCCTCAAACTTGCTGTGTAGCCAAGGATGAACTTCTCATCCTCCTGCCTCCATGTCTGGAATGTTAGGATTAGATGTTACCACCACACCTGGTTTATGTGGTGCAGGGCTTTGTGCATGCTAGGCAAGCACTCTACCAACCAAACTACATCTCCAGCTCCTCAAAAGAAAATTTCAAAATCTCATAAAAGAAATCTGTCTATAAGAGAAAGGAGTAAAGATATCTTATTTAATAAATTATTATTATTATTATTGCCCTGCCAGGGGTCAAACCCAGGGCCTTATGCATGCTAGGCAAGTGCCGCTATACCGATGAGGGAAATACATCCTCAGCCCAAGTGTGATGATCTTTTAGCAGTGCTTCCTCTGACCTTTCCCCACATTTGTTGTAGTTCTTCCCTTTATTTTTGGTTAAATTCAGAGGTTTGCTCATGCCTGCATTTTTCCAAACTATGAATCTGTTGTTTATGGTCATGGTTCATTTAAACCTTCTACTTTGCTCGTAATAAGGCCTCCTTAGCGTGGCATCCAGCACACTTCATCTTGGGCCTCTGGCCTGGGCTCTCATCCTTTCCTCACCCTTGTGTAGGCACTTCATTAAACTGTGAGGAGCTCTTGAGTCCTTGACATCTCCTGAGCCTCTCTTTCTCCACTGGAGCTTCTGGCTTCATCTGGTCATTAGCTTAAAAATTCAGTTATTACCTTGCCTGGAAGGATTCTAGGCTCCTGCTTGTTAAACTGTGGACCATCAGGGTTTGGAAAAATTTGGCAATGGTAAATATTTTCTAAGTGCACTTAATTAGTTTTCTAAAAACTAATTTACAAGCAAGCGTGTAATGAATCCGAGATGTTTCTAGCAGTACTTGACCATGTTACATTTTCTTACAGCCTTTGTTTTAAACACACAGAGTACTTTGCACTGTGCATGCCTTTATGCCATGCAGTGCCAGTGAACAGTGACTGAAACACCTCGGCTCAAACATGAGTCTGTTGTATGTTATGATCTGCAGTGCTTTTGCTGTTCATGCAGTCTCCTGCTTTTATAGAAACATGGCTTAATTATAGAATACAATGTCTTTTAATACTTTCCTACAGTCATTCCTCAGCGCCTATCAATTAGTGTCTTTGGATTGTATTATGTTGGAATGTTTGATTTAAAAAATTTGAGTTGCTGACTTGAGTTTCCTTAAAAAAATAAAAAAAGGTTGAGTGGGAGGGAGAGGATCTAGCTCAATCAGTAAAGTACATGGGACCTGAGTGCCATCCCTAGAACCCATGTAAAACACCAGTGGTGACAAGTACTTGTAATCCCAGTACTGGGGAAGTAAAAATAAGCAGATCCTTGGGGCCAGCCAGACCAGCCTACTGTACCTAGCATGCTTTAAGCCAGCCAGAGACCCTATCTTAAAAAGCAAGGGTGGGCAGTGCCTGAGGAAGACATGTGAGGTTGACTGCTAGCCTTCACATATACCGTGCCCCACACAAATGCACACATATATGCATACACAGACACAGACACACACAAATTGTTAAATGGAGCTTGGGAATGTAGATCAGTTGGTAGAGTACTAGCCTAACATACATGAAGCCCTGGGTTTGATCTCCAGCACTGCATAAACTGGCTGCTTATACCTATAATCCCAGCACTTGGGAAGTGGAGGCAGAGGATCAAAAGTTCAGGGTCATCTATGCCACATAGTCAGTTTGAGGTCAACCTGAGATGAGACCCTGTCTCAAAAAAGAAGAAATAGGAGGCTGGAGAGATGTCTCAGTGGTTAAGAGCACTGACTGCTCTTGCAGAGGACCCAGATTCGATTCCCAGCACCCACATGGCGGCTGCGAACCGTCTTTAACTCCAGTTCCAGGGGAATCTGAAGCCCTCTTCTGACCTCTGCAGCATTGCACGATATGGGTGCACTCCCATACATGCAGGCAATACACTCATGCACATAAAATAAAAATGAAATTAAAAAAAAAGAATAAATAGGACTGGTGAGGTGGATAAAGGTGCTTGCTGCCAACCCTGACAGCTTGAGTTCGACCCTTGGTAACCTTATGGTGGAAGGAAAGAACCGACTCTTTACAAGTTGTCAGACTTCCACATGTACATGTGATATATTTAAGCGCTCCCCCCATATATACATATACATATATATGAATAAAGTTAATGAATTTCGACTCTGGTTTAAGACAGAACTTCTAATAATTACTGAAATGGCCCTTAACATACCTCTGTATGTTGTGTGATGTATGAGAAGCTGTGTTTGCAGCATCAATGTTTATAAAATAAAAAACAACAGTTAACTCTGAAAAATGTTGAAGATGTCTTATGTCCTGTAGTATTAAATATTCAGTCAAGGTGTAATTCTTTATCTGAAAACAAGAACACCCATCTCATTAGTATGCAGACTTGCTTCAGTCTTTAATAGTAAAATCATATGTATACCTAGGCCCCTGAGATGGCTTAGTGGGTAAAGGCTCTTGCCTCCAAGCCTGATGACCTAAATTCAATCCCTAGGACCCACATGGTAGAAGGAGAGAAGCAACAGAAACTGCCTTCCTCAAGTGGTCCTCTGACTTTCACGCTTGCTCTGTGGTATGTATATACAACTGAATGTAAGTTAAAAAGTTATGTGTGCCAAAGACTTGTTTGAAAATAAATTTCTTTATTGTTTATCAGTAAATATTTCATTTATATGCCCATTTTATATACTTGTATACACGGGGTCACTGAATTTCTTGGGTGAAAAGCTGTTGTAAATGGAACAATTTGAAGAAGCCTGGCTCTAGGTTCCTGGAGAACTGTCTAGCATTCTGTACATCTAGGATCTCACACACTGTATTTTACTACTACCTACACTGGATAGTAACAGCATGCAGTGCATAGACTGTTCAGCAATGGACAGGTCTTGAATCTGTTTGGGAGGTTGTCACAGAGGAAGTGGAGCATCTGGTTCATGCCTTAGAGCAGCTTTCACTCACACTTGCCTGCCAGGAGGTCTCACTTAGTAGCACATGTCAATTTTCAAAGTCCATTTAATTGCCTAATTCAAATCTTGTTTCCTGAAGGAAGAGATTTAATAAACTAAGTTGGCATCGTTGCTCTCAGCTCCTGATGGAGCATGTGTTTGGTTTAGGTTGCTTTCCTTTTTCTTTCTGTGTACCTTCTGTTATTGTTCCCCTCCCCTTTTTAAAGTTTTCTGTGTTTGGACAGTAGGGCTTAAGAGGTTAAGATAACTACATTTCAAATTCATTTATTGTGTATAGCCAAGGAAAACAGAAAAAGAGGTGGTTACCGCGATTCACACGTTAGTCTCAGCACTTAGGAGACTGAGGGAGAAATGTTGAGAGTTCTAGGTGAGCTGGGGCTACATAGTAAGACCTCTCCCCCCCAACAAACAAAACAAAACAAAAATCAAGAAGATAAATTCACTTTTTAAGGCAAATTTAATCAAATCTTACCTGTGCAGGTCTAAGGCTTGCTTACCTAGAGTCTCTATACTGGGACCCAGCTTGACCAAGCTTGATTGGGATGAAAACAATGAACTGAAGTAAACATCAGAATATCATTTTCATAAACAAAATATTTGAGACAAATTTTGCTGCCCAGACAGGACTTCAATTTATAATCCTCCTGTCCCAGTCTCTTGAGTTGAGAATATAGGCACATGCCACTTTGCACTGCTATTTTTCAAAATGAACTTTTGGGAATTTCAGTTACTTTCTTTGTTGTAAAATTAAAAACAGAACCAAAGACTGAGAAGAGGTAGCTCCTTGATAAGGCATATATGAGGCCTTAGGTTTAATTCCCAGTATTGGGGTTGGGGAGCAATCTGCAAGTTTGTGTTCAAGGAATGACTGAATGTCTAGCATAGCATATAAATGTCAGCTAAGATACATTTAGCCACCCTGGCTTCTTAATGATTGCCTCTTTTTCCTTTGCTTCTGGTGATGCTTCCTCTTCCACATATGTGCTTAGAAGTTGGGTTCCCAAATGTCACTTTTATTTATTTATTTATTATTTATTTATTTATTGTGTGTACTTCTCAGGTCATAAGACCTGTGTGGAAATACCTCTACCCACTGAACCATCTTACTTGCTCCCCCAAACTTATATTTTAAAGCTAATTTATTCACAAATGTTGTAAAATATGTTAATAGTACCATGGAATTTAGAGAACATCTATATCAGCATATTGGAAAGGTGTACATTTCGTGTATATATTTCATTAAGTGTGTTTTTATCACAAATCTTCAGATACAAGCACAGCTATTTTCCTTATTTTGTAAATGAGGAAACAAAGTTTAAGAGCTAACACATGCTCAAGCTTGGATTTAAGCCGAGGTTCCTAACAATCTGATGTTCTTTTCACTGTAGTACACTGCCTGTCTAGCTAGAAGGTGTTCATCATATGGTTCAAGGAACCATAGTGCTATTTACCCTGGAGAGCATATGGCTTGGGTCCTTTTATGAATTTGAAGGTTTTGAATAAAGAATAGGTTTGTTTGGCTGTTTTGGAAGGTACTGTGCCAAATGATAGAGTTGCACTTGACTCCCTACCTGGTAATTGAAAGGTAACTCTGAGTTACCGGTAACCTAGTAGCAAAAGCTATGGGGTGTAGTAGGGTGCGTAGCAGATTAAACTTAATTTTGCCCTGTCTTAATGTGGATTCACCTCTTCCTTTGCTTCCCTCCTTTACACTCTTGTCTGACCTGATCTCTTAACTATCTTTGTGTCATATTTTTACTATATTAAATCATCTTGATGTTTGATGATACTTATGTTTAATTGGATCATTTTTCTCTTATTTGGAATGTCCTTAGTCCTTTACGTTTTTTAAAAACAAGGCAGCAAAGTACATGTGAGTGTGAGTTTTACATTTTTTCCCAATATTAACTATTCCTATTCAGGATTTTTCAAAAAGCTGGAAATAAAAATTGAAGAAGTGGTTACTACGAATGTAGCTCAGTGGATGGAGCACATACTTAGCACGTTCATGGTCTTGGATTCACACCCCCCTCCCCCAACTTTGAAATGTTTATACTGATAGGTGATTTTCTGCTAAAGCATATTAGCAGAGTATCTTTTTTATTTAAGGTTTATTATCAGCATTTTCATTCCTAGCAAATGTGCTTGTATAGAAAAGATACATAGATGCTGCATTTGCCTGGCCAAAAAAGCTGTGGATTAGAAAAAGGGAGAGGGAGGTCAGTGGAAAATTAGACATTGCCGTCAGAGAGTGAATCTAAGAACGGACTGTTAGCATTGCCATTCAGAGAACATATTTACAGGTGAAATTTCAGAATGATGTGGTCAAGAAGAGAAAGATCTGTTCTCTTTCAAACAGCCATTGAATTTTGCATCATAGTAATTGTTTTTTGTCTTTTGCCCACATGCTTTTTAAAAAATTATATTATTTTTATGTGTATGATTGTATTATTGCCTGCATGTATGTAAGTGCACCCCTGTCATGTAGTATCTGCAGAGGTCAGAAGAGGGCATCAGATTCCCCTGGAATTGGAGTTATGGATGGTTGTTTGCCACTATGTGGATGCTGGGAATCGAACCCCAGTCCTCTGCAAGAACAGCCAGTGCTCTTAACTGCTAAGCCATCTCTCTAGCCCCGCCCACATGCTTTAAAAAATATTAATTTCTAGAAGACTGGAGGATATATAACATATATAAAATATATGTAATATATCTTTATTATTATTATTATTATTATTATTATTTTGGTCTTTTGAGACAGTCTCTCCCTGTAGCCACAGATGGCCTGGAACTCACTAAGGAGACCAGGGTAGTCTTGATCTGACAGAGATTCATCTACCTCTGGCTCCCAAGTGCTGGGATTAAAGGTGTGCACCATCACAACCAGTACTTTTTTTTTGTTTTTGGTACCTTTTTAAAAATTACACACAGCAAGCTAATTTCATAGAATGAACTGAGAAATACTCCTTTTCAGTTTTCTTGAAGAATATTATGGTTTGAATGTGTTCCCCAAGAAGTCTGCCTTAGAAACTCAATCCTCTGTAGGACCGTGTTGGAGGCCAGCTCCTGGGCAGTGTCTGAGTCATGAGGGATTCATTCTAACAGGTGGACTAGATGACAGTTACAGAAGGGCTTGAGGCTGTGAGTTCTGTTCTTGCTTTGTCCTTGCCTGGCCTCTCACCCCCTCACATCTCCATCTCTAGAACCATGTGCCAAATATGTTCCTGTTAACATATTACCCAGTCTGAGGTTATCTGTTGTAGCAGCACAGAACACACCAAAAATAGAAAAACTTGAACTGTTGCTATTATAAATACCTGAAAACGTGTAAACAGTTTTGGAATTGGGTCGGGCTAGAAGAATTTGGAGGAGCAATCTAGAAGAAAATGTACATTTCTGTGAATGGAACGTCATGGGCACAAGGTGACAAGAGTTACATGAGAACCCAGGTCTTAGGGATTACTTAACGTGGTTGTGATCACAGTAGTGACAGTTAAGGCCATTCTAATGACGTCTCAGAAGGAACTAAGGAATAAGGCATTGGAAACACGAGTAAAGGCCTCTGTATTTAGTTACCCAGCTACAAAGACCTTGGAGTTGTGTCTGTGTTATCATCCTTTTTTGGAATGCAGGAGGTAAGAGTGATGAACTAAGGTATCCAGTAGAAGAAACAGTGAAACAGCAGGGTGGTCAAGGTGCAGGATGACCTTTTGGGGAGTTGGCTTACAGTAAAATGAAAGTAGAAGTGACAGAGATGAAGTTAATAGTTAGAAGGGAAGGAGAAGGCAAAGGTTTAGAAAGCTTTGAGCCTAGCCATTTAAAGAAAATAGAGTGGGATGTGGTGGTGCATGTTTATAATCCCCCAGCTCTTGGGATTGATGAACCTGGGCTATATAGTGCTACCCTGTCTCAAACCAAAGTAAGCCTGATGTGGCTCACATGTGGCACTTAAGGAAGCTGAGGCAGGAAGATTGCTGTGAGTTGAGGCCAGTTTGTGCAGTAGAGTGAAATCCTATCTCAGAAAACCAACAGTAATAAAAAATTTTTTTTAATTTTTAATTTTTTTGGTCTTTTTGAGACAAGGTTTCCCTGTAGCTGTGTAGCTGGCTTGGATCCAGTAATGGAGACCAGGCTGGCCTTGAACTCACGGAGATCCGCTTGCCTCTGTCTCCCGAGTGCTGCCCAGCTTAAAAAAAAAAAATTAGTGTATTAGAGACTACTAAGGGTGTGACTATGACCTTTTGCTAAAAAGAGTACTATAGATAGAAGAAACCAGGTTGTGTTTGTGAAGACACAGGAGAAGGACCCTGAAGACATCTCAGAGACTTTGAGGCAAAGTCCTTGAGGGCAGTGTGTTCCAGAGAAGTGCCTGTGGGGCCTCAGCAGTTGTCCTGTGCTGCCTTTGGACTTGTCCTTCAATGCAGTGTCCCTTGGCTGTCCCAACTGTGACTCAAGCAGGCCTGGGTGAACTCAGGCTGACACTCTTGGGGGTGGAATCAATAAGCTTGGTGCAAACTGCATTTGATCAGCAGAGTGCACAGGCTGTGGGGTCGTAGCAACCTCCCTTTAGATTTAAAGGAGTAGTGGACTTCCTAGGGGGCCTAGG